AAACATGTGATTCCTATCGAAAACACGGGCCGTATTCCGTGGCACTCTCTAGATTTTAACATGTAGTTCAACACTACTGACACGATTGAAACAAATGCTGTAGAAAAGAACTCTACACGCAAATACACGCCACCAGGGCGTGGTGTTCTGAATCTAAAACCGTCAACCTCTATCCTAAACCCTCAACAACCCTGATCCCTGGACCCCAAACCCAACCTGTAGCCGAAAAGACCTAACTTTTGAGGGTTCCTTATGGTTTCTATGTATATAGCTCCTCAAAAAACCGTGGGTCTTTTGGGCCACAGGCCCCTAAACCCTAAACCCTAAACCCTAAACCCTAAAACCCTAAACCCTAAACCCTGAACCCTGAACCCTAAACCCTAAACCCTAAACCACAGGCCACAGGTAGTCCCTGCGTCAGGTCTCCTGCTGGCCCCTTTTACTTTTGGCATCTCCATCCCTGCGGCCGTGGCGATCTGCGCGGTGCTGGGCGCGGCCATCGATGCCGCCACAGGCCCCGAGGATTAGGGTTTAGGGGACTTTTGACATTTAGCACCGAGTTCCCCGCCAGAGTTTTTGTTTCAGAGGGACGGTGGCGCAGTATTTCTGGATTTTAAGACTATAGGAAAAGCATTGTCTGTAACAAGGGGAACTAGGACTATGTGGGGGCCTTCAGGAAATGCCAGGGTTTCATGCGGGAGTGCCAACCGTGCAAAATCAGCATGCCCCACGAAACCAAGTCTTGTCGGTAAGATAGATGTTGTGGAGTTTTATTCAGCGCTCATACAGTAGAACATCAGTAAAAGCTAGAAAGTTGAACGGCGCTGTCACCAGCCTAGTAAAGAAGGAAACCCAGCATTTTGCATGATGGTGTCCTTTGTTCGGCTGATCATCTTCTATTATGGTTATATTGTGCCGATGCTGGTTGCTCGACATGCCGCCCTGAACACGCATCATAAGATTCAGGATGCTGTTACTTTGACCCCTGAGCTCAGACTCCATGCAATTGCAAACCCTGCAGCCTGAACCCTAACATTCAGTATCTTGCGAATCTTGTGTTTACCAGGATTTGTGGTGTATGTACACGATCTCGCAGGTGTACCCGCGTAAGCACATTGGGGAACCGCCGCAATAGAAGTCAGCCAAAGTTGGCCAACCCTGAACCTTAAAAGCCCAAAGCCTGCGTCGCACCCACGCCACCAGCTGCACTTGCAGAGACAGGTGCTTTGCTGGCGGCCTGTGCGAGTGGACTTCTTGTGAGGCAGGTCTGACAAGAGTTGACATGTCCTACCGCATTTGGCAGGTCTTATGTCAAGAGCTTTTGGGTTGCTCAGGTTTGCAGATTAGTTTGGAGCTTTGGATATTGGGCTTCAGCAACTTAAGGAGCTAAGCTTCAGAATCGTGCAAGCTTTTGAGAGTTTAGGGCTCAAGGCCTTATGGCCTTATGGTACATGAAGACGACGTCGTAGGCCGTTACGGTTTGGTGAGCAGCTGACCTATCACTCTTTCACGAACATAACTAGCGATCCTTATAGTAGCGATCCCGCGATACGTTTTTTTATTGTAGGGTCCCGTATCTCTGAACTTGCAAAATCTTTGTGGCGTGCTCTGCGCAGCGCAGGTATCATGGATGGCTGCTGGCAGGCAGCACCCAGTTGCATCAGTGCTTCTTCTTTGGTTTCAGTCTACAAGTTACTGGACAAGCAGGAAACCGTGTACCTCAAAGATGTCTAAAGCCCTTGCCCCACACACGCTCCCCCGCATAGGCCCTGAACTTTATAACCACAAAGACCTGAACCACAAGCCATTAACCCTCTCGCACCCTAAACCTTTGAAGCCATGCACTTGAAAGCCTGCCAGCAATTGAAGCCCGAGAGCTTTGGCGCAACTGCAGCCATGCAATGCAAGAACGGTGCCCATTCCAAAAGACTTGATAATGTAGGGGCCTAAATGATTGCCTATACTATTTTGGGGGTTCTTTCTTACAATCATAATATAATGGGCCCCAAAACCCTATTCTAATTATTAAGTAAGGCCCCTATAGCATTTTCAGGAGTAAACTTTAGGGCTCGCCAGATTTGTTCCAGAGAATCAAATTAAGGGAGCTTCCTGGAAGCGCTTTATCCTGAGCTCAAGGCCCCCAGACCAGTTCCAGGTAGGCACATCGATGCCAGCAGTATAGAAGAAATCACATCACCAGCCACAAGGCAAGCAACGAAGATTCTGGTATGGAATAAAGCACGGATGACAGCATTCGTGATCTGTGTAAGGAGCAGCTGCAGCGATAGCAATACAATGCATGCATGAAGGTGAGTAGTAGTCGCGTGGGAACTTATGAAAATTTAAAGATTTGTCCTGCCAAGAACTTTAGTGCCACCAAATACAGTAACTTAATGTTCCACAAACTCCCACGGACGGACATGGCAAGTTCTCCGGCAGGTTTTCGCCGCGCCGTTTCTGCTGCAACAGAGGCTGTAAACAGGCAGGACAGGGACAGTTCTGCTTGAAGTAGCAATCCGAAGCAACAACCCGGAATGCACTGACATGGCTCCATCTGTAACCTGAGCTCTACAGTCAGATTTAGATGTAATGTAGGGGCTTCAAATAGAATAGGGAATAGGGTTTTCGGGGTTCCTTATTATAATTAGCATATAATACACCCCAAACCCTATTCTAATTATTCAGGCCCCTACATTAGTATGAACGCCTCATGCATAAAGCCTGCGTTGCTAGCAGCTGCAGCATACTAGCATACTATTTCGCGGGCTTGACAAGCTTGTTCCCGAACCGAAACCCTGAAGCCCGAAACTCAGTTTGGAGCTGTCGGGCGAAGTGGCCATGGTAACCAGACGCCTAAAATTCAGTTGAAGCTGAATCAAGCTTTTGGCAAACCCTAAGCGCCAAATATCCTACACGCCCTAAATCCCGAAAAACCGAAACCCTAAAAAGCCCTAACCCCTAAATCCCGAAATACATGGTTACCCTAAACCCTCAAAGCCCTAACCCCTCAAATTCGAGCCAGATTCCGATGGCGACTTGCGAGATTCGTCGCCCCGGAAGCAGCCGAAAAGCCGGGCTGTTGGGCTACAGTGCCAGAGGTGCGACAGCTAATATAGGGGCCTAAATAATTACCTACGTAGCCTACGTTATTTTGGTGGTTCCTTATTCGAATTATAAGTTAAACTGGGGCCCAAAATCCTATTCTGATGATTAAGGCCCGGACATTATTTCAGAAGTTTGGGGGTAATCAGGACCCGATCGGTTCGGGCATGATCGTCGACAGCCCTCGTGGTTTAGATTCACTGGTTTAGGATTTAGGGCATTGAGGATTTAAGATTTATTGGTGTAGTTTAGTGTTCATTGGGTTCATGATGTGTGGTGTCCAGTCTTCACTGGGTTGTGGGGATGTAGGGTCTAGGGTTTTGAGAGGTTGGTTGGTTTTTGGATTTGAGGGTGGTTTGGACATTTCATTGTCCAGCACATCAACAAAACGTTCAGACAGGATTGCAGGCGCATTTGTTTTTGAACGTTTATGTTCAAGTGCTTTTTTTGATTTGGGGTGGGGTTGGGTTGAGGTTCAGGGTTTCAGAACTTGGTCTTCGTTGACATTGGTGCAAAAAGATCTTGTTCTGTGTTGCAAAGCTTCAGGTTTTCAAGGTCTGGGGTTGCAGGTTTCGGGTTGAAGGTTGAACACTTCGAGTTCAGCTGTATCACATTGCTTTCTTGGTTCGCGCATTAGGCTTTAGTAATAAAGCTCTTGCCTGGTGGAAAGGTGTTGTGTGGCGTGATATGTTTGCTTCAAACGGCTTCTTCCACTAAAACTAGTCATTCTGGTCCTCGACGAGGACGACCACCACTTAGGCAGGAGCTTGCTTTCCTTGGAGTACGTGCTGGAGACATGGATGGTCCCTGCCACAACCGCAACTCAGAGAAATGATAACTGCCTTAGTTGGACCCCGAAAATGTTCCTATTCGAGCAGGGCCCTTCCAGAGATCCTTAGGCGGGTCAGACTAATGTAGAGGCCTTCGCAATTAGAATAGGGTTTTGAGGTCTAGTATTCTATAATTAGGAACTTCCAAAACCCTATTCTATTTATTAAGGCTCCTACATTTGACTGCAAGGGAGTAGCTGCAGGAGCTCGGGCCGACGGGTGCAGGGAGCGATCGAACTTAACCCTTGGACCCCAAACCTGAAGGGAATCCGATACAATTGGAACGATACAGAGAAGATTAGCANNCATGGCCGCTGCGCAAGGATGACACACACAAATCGAGAAGTGTACCAAGAGTCGAAACCCTAAACCCTAACCCTAAACCGTGGAGTTTCTTCAGCTTCGCTGTTCTTTTCGAGTTTTGGGTATTTACATGTTGGAGGTGCCTGAGGTTTCTCAAATCAGGGAGGAGGCAGAATCGAAATCCCTCACATCCCCAAAAATGGACCCCTAAACCCTTACAAACCCTTTTGCAAACCCGTACATACACCCTAGACACTAGTTAAACCCAAGAACAGCCTAAACCCTAAACCGGCCGGCCACAGACGGACGCCGGCTGTGCGGAGCCCCCTCGGCGCAACCTGCGCCGCCGAAGGGCGGCGCGTGCGTAGAGGCGGCGCTGCGACGCACGGGGCCCAGAGATCCCACTGAAAACAGAATTAATGTAGGAACTTGATTAAGAAACCCTGGCCCTATAGCCCCAAATATATTAGGGTTCATATTACGAACCCTAATAAAGGACCAGGGTTTCTTAATCAGGTTCCTACATTATACCACCACTTTTCAACAAGGAACATGCACATGTATGCCTCCGAACATTTTCAAGATCCTTCCATAGATTGAGGAGTGTGCTGTATTCTGCGGGTCCGGTTGAAGTTCAAGATTGCGTGGCTGACTTGCACCGTAAGTACGAGCGGGGATTCAGAAGTTTAACCATGAGATGCACGAGTGCGCCGGGGCCTCGGGTATAGCACCTTGTGCAACATTGGAGAAATTGGGGAGCAATGCGAGACGATCGGCAGACATGAAAAAGAAAGGCCTGAACCCCAGTCCGAAATGCAAAAAAACCTCCAAACCCGATCCACCTTAATGTAAGGACCTAAATAATTACCAATACCGTTTTGGGGGCCTTTTATTTTTATGATTATAGTAGAATATACCCCCCAAAACCCTATTCTAAATATGAAGGCCCCTACAGCAAGCCTGTGCATGCCCCTCAACCCACCGGCCCGACATCGCTCTACCTCGAAACCCGAGACGACACATGAGCGTAGAAGCCTAAATAATTACCACTATTATTCTTAGGGTTCCTTATGATAGTTATACTATAAAGGAGCCCAGAACTAATATAGCCTTAACAAATTAGAAGAGGGTTTCGGGGTCTAGTATACTATGATTATAATAAGGATACCCAAAACCCTAGTCAAATCATTAAGGCCGTTATATGAATCCTAGACATCAGGGCTAGTCGAGGCATGTTGCTTCATTGGAAGCATAGCATTGAGGGCGAGTAAGCGCTAAACCTTTTTTAAGCCGGCAACCGGTTGAACTTCAGCACCACATTCCAAGGCGCCGTCGAAAAGTGACAGATTCGGATGGAATAGCCCGGACGCGAAGAAGTCGTCTACACAACCTCTAGTTTGTTGCTTTGCGGAATTATTTATGTACATGCTTCTATTTGTCTACCTATCTATCTATCCATCCGTCCATCCGTCCATCTATCGATATATCTAATCTATCTATCTATCTGTCTATCTGTCTATCTGTCTATCTATCTATTCAACTAACTAAGAACTATCTATCTATCTATCTATCTATCTATCTATCTATCTATCTAACGACCTATCTATCTATCTATCTATCTATCTATCTATCTAGCTAGCTAGCTAGCTAGCTAGCTATATCTCTTTCTCTATCCTCTCTCTACCTATCTATGTGCCTGCAGAACTTAACAGTCTGTCGGTTGAACTATTCATATCCTGGGGGTTGGCAACCTAAGTTTTGGAGTTTGCGGAACCATAGTTCCGGACCCCCAATACACCTTAGACATCCACCATCTTCCTTTACTTAGTTCCCCAATACCCAGGCTTTGAACTTGTTGGCTTCTTATGATTTCATAGTAACCTGAAAGTTTAACCTTTTATTTCCTTGGCTTATTGGGGAAGTAAGTACAGGGGTTGAGCGAACTTCTACAGGGGTGTACAAGCTTCTGAACAAAGTATTTGTAAGGGGACCCGCATCACGATTCTGAACAAGGTAACCTGTCGTGCACTGCGGGTGGAAGCTCTGACGGTGCTGTAGTGCTGTGTGGCTTTGAGTATCCGAACCAAAGAAGCTGTTCAATATAGGGGGCCGGAATCAGTAGTAGCAATGTTTGGGGTTCCGTAATATGCCCATACTGTAATATACCCCAAGACCCTGTTCTCATCATAACGAGCAGTTTTCTGGGTTCTAGGGTTTAGGGTTTGGCGGAGTCATAATCCGTCCTGATCCTCATGATCATGGAAATGTGGTTTCCGACTGAGTCTGGCACGACTTTAAGGCCCAGTCAACCCCAGTGTCATCCAGTGTCAAACCCTGAGTCGTTTAAGCCAGATCTGGACCGACATCCCAAAAGCCTCATGTCCTTCATTGCCATAATTTCGCCTTCGGCTTTCCATCTCTTGCAAACACAGCACATGAATACTTTAGTATTTTCTGCGAGGCACGGCTCATGTCAAGTGTTTTGGCAGGATGCTCGGGTAGGCCGTTGAAGCCAACAAGTGGGTATAAATCAAAGTGATGCACTTCAGGTGTTGCCAGAATACTCTAAACCTTATACACCTTAAACCCCATATTCATAGCCGGTGTACTGAAGGGCGTAACACATCGCAGTTTTGCTTTCAAGATCCTGTATGAGCTTCGCTGCCTCTTAGCCGAATGATTTCTCAGAATTCGCATCTTCAAGCTGGCGATTCCAGCATGCACATTCACACTGACCGCCAGCTTGCTGCCGCGTGTTAAGAAGCCATTGCAGCTCCTTGGGACCTTGATATATACACACATGTGTTTATTGTCATTTGTAGTTTTCATGTATATCTTTTAATACCGTGTACGACAGTTCTAAGGCGGCGCTTATCACTTGCCGTGTCAGCCATCGGGCTCTACGGGTAATGCTTCGGATCTTTTTTGGGATTACGGTTGAGGGCGCAGGGTTCAGGAGCTCTGGTGGCTCTTGAAAAAGCTTCTGCGAGCATGTGCCACGAATGGGACTGGAACGTCGCTGCAACAAGCTATGGGGCTGCGGTAGATGTCTTGAGAACATGCAGGCTTCGGGGCAGCCACTTTGACAGATGAAGGCTCGTTTCGATGTAGTCTAGCCCATGATCTATCCAGGCTTCGTCGACTTTCAGTGAGCAAACCAGACCTGGGCAAGTGCAGAGCCAGGTGGACCTGTAAGTTGCAAGTCCTAATTCATAGTATCCAACGTTATAATTGAAACCCTGCGAGCATCCCATCAAAGTGTGCAGTCCGAAGCACCGCCCCTCTAGGGCTAGCAGTCGCCGGACGAAACAGGACCCTTAAACAAACCAATCGTCCCGACCATAACTTCAAAGGCTAAAATTTTGTGGGACAGGGCACCCAGCCCCTAAGTATAAACCCTGAAACCCTGATCCCTAAATCCCGCTACGCCTGTTTTCACGCCGACTACGCCTGAGAACCTCGCCTGGATTGTCCAAGCGGAGCGAGCGAGTGTAAACCTTAGACAAAACGTAACCAAACCCTGAAACCCCCCCAAAAAACCCCCTAAACCCGTAAAACCTTCAGCAATGAAGCACCTTTTGCTGGCCGCTTGGATGGCCGCCGGGTTGGACGCCTTGTCTCCGGACTTCTGTCTCGAGTTTATTACATAATAACCTAGTGTTTTTGAAGGTTCTACCCTGTGTTTACGGAGTTGTAACCTACCATTTCGTAGGGTTTTGGGTATTGAGTTTGTTGAGGCTTACAGGTTAAGGACCCCATATTTTAGCTGAGGTTTGGCTCATGTTTAGGGGGCGAACGGTGCTTACAGGTTTGGAGTGGTGGGCATAGTGAACGATGTGTTTTGGGTGTTTCTTTTCCGGCATATTGCATTTGCCGATGCTGACTATATATCACAGAGGCTTTGAACGCTGGGCATCGTCCTGCTGGATTATGGGCCAAACCGACACTTGCACACAGACAGACACCAACGCATCGGTCAACGGGGTCTTATTCGCAACTCCCTGCATTCTCGTCTTGACTCCTTGGTCAAGCTGTTGTTTGTATATGCAGGGCAGCAGAGCACCTCTTCAGCTAGTTACATCTAGTTACTCGTTTCCTGCTGGGGACGCGGTTGCCTTAGTTTGCTTCTTCAGGCTTCCTCGTTCGCTCACATTATGACTTACCGCCATCCCTTGCGTTTAAAAAGAATGGTTTCAGGCAGGGCTTCATTGTTGAACCCTTTGAGAATCTCAACAATGCCTCAGCTCTCACTTCGAAGATCCAAATCCGAATCCAATGCGATCCTCCTGAGGATCCCGGAGAGTTGGAGTACGACCATGTCGTCGCAAGCAGCGCAGGCCTGGGTCGGGAGGGGTGTGCACGACGTGCACTGCGCGGAGTTTGCCGTCTTTTGAAGTGTTCACGAGTATATTGATGTGCTCCGGATTCAGGTTTGGGGTGGCAGGGCCGGCTTGCAACTCAAAGTTAGGATGTTCAGGAGACGTCGCGAAACTGCCCTGAGATACGCTTGGCTGTAGACAAAACTTGTTGCTAGGGTTGGGTTTTCGGGGTATTCTGCCGTCGAGGTTTCCGAGATTTACGGGCCTAAAGACGCTGCGCCTGCTTCTCGTAAGCTCATACACCCCTAAACATGAATCTCTGCGAGCACTCATTGGAGTCGCCGGGCACTGCTGAATCTGCTAAAAGACACACTTAAGGACCCAGGCTTAAAGTAATTATACTTCCCTCCGACCAGTTCTAAGTACATGTACCATGCAAGGTCGTTGGCCGGAGAGCCCAATACCCCTTAATCGAGGAATATTCCCCAACAAAAATCGACCACTATGGTATAAATATTCCTTAATTGAGGGAAAGTGACTGGGATATCTCCGGGCATCTGAGTCATGGGAGATTTGAACTTGATCGTGCGCAGACCCCGTGCGGATGATCACAGCGATGGCACTGACGAAGAAAGAGGATGATGCTCATAGATGATGCATATTTCATTGCTGCTGGCAATGATGATTATAATACTGACGATGGTGAGGATGATGCTGGTTCGCAAGATTAGCGGGTGATGGGCAGGTCGACGACGATGATGATGATGCTGGCATCGGGCGTGACAGTGGTAGCCACGCCCCTAGCCGTGGACCCAGCGCGGATCAGCGCAGGCATGATCTATGCGCTGGCCGGATCACAGTCCTCGCTGATACGTGCCTGGGTCAAACTTCGCTCAGGCGTAGAAGCGGAGACCCGAATCCCAAAACCCCATATCCCTGAACCCTGAAACCCACTAGCCCTATAATCCGTCTGCCAAGCGTGTTCCAATCCAAGGAATCGACCCCTACTCAGAGTATGCTATCGCGGAGCCCACGGCAGTATTGGGTTTTCGGTTCTTGGTTGGCGGCCTTTTTATTTTGAGGGCTCAGGGTTTAGAGTTTGGAGGGGTTCAAGGCTCAGAGATTTGGGGTTTTGGTCATCCACTGGCTCTTGACATTAAGCTGGGCTAGACCAGTCAATCCTTGGAGGCCTTCCACCGCTGCAGCTGCATTGTCCAAGTAGCCGATGCGTGTTTGTTGTTGTTTTTTCTAATTCTTTGCAACCTGCAGGGATGGATATAGGGCTTATAGGGTTTAGGGCTTAGGATGTGGTTGCAATGTGCTATTCTTATGCAATTCTCTCATGAGTTCACAATGTCAGTTGCAGACTGCTCCTGGGATCCCCCAACTGCCGACTCCCTAGGCCTTCAGGACCTGATGTCCTGAAGCCCCAGGGGCCCGAACGCCAAAAGATTGGTTTAGGGTTTAGGGGTTTTGGGTTTAGGGTTGAAGGGATTGAGGGCTTAGTGCATTGCAGTCCCTGCTCAAAAAAAGGGTTTCGGGTTTACTGCGAGTTTCGCAGAATTTCCGAAACGTTGTACGCAACATCGCCGATTCAACGTTCTCGTGCCCCAAACAGCATGGACTCTGCATGCTTGAGTCTAAAGCTAGAACAGGCATGGAGACGAATCTGCATGCAGCTTCCCCTGCGTGGGTTTACAGTTTGCTGGCGGTCCGGCTAAACGGCAGAACTCTGATGAAACCCTATGGAAAGCTGGTTTCGAAAATCGGTAAAAAGCCCTACAATACTCTTACAACACTGCTATATAAACCTTCATGCAATGACAGATCTCGTGGAAGACTGAGCCTCCAGCGCTTTCTGAGGAGCCAGAGGAGAGCGCATCTTCTTCGCCCGCATTCACTCAGCTGCTTGAGGTGTGCGCGGGCGAGCTCCGTAAGGTTTTTTGTGTGGGACTTTCGGGGGAGAGGGTTAAAGGGTTCAAGACGATTTATAGAGGTCTTTCAGGGTTAATTAAGAGTGTAGAGTTTAGAGTTGAGGGACGACAAGGCGAGGGCGACTATACGGGTTTCCAACAGGCTCTCTGAAAGGATTCCGAATTTGTGTTCTAGACCGGCTACTAGAAGTGCTGCTAGAAGGGTTTAGGGTTTAGGGTCAAATTTCAGGGTATTCTGAACTTCAATGTAGTTAGAGGTTTAGAGTTCGGATCCGGGAGGGGGTAGCTTTCCTTCGGATTGCTCCACGGAAGCCCCCTGCCTCAAAGCAAATAATTTTTTGCGCAGTGCTGGAATACTCAACCTCGAAGCTTCATCCTAGCCGGATCCCACAGCTTCGAGTAGACAGCGCTGGAAAGATAAGTATACTGCACCGTTCCCAGAGCTCTGAGTTTTCATCCCTAGACTATTCAGGACACCCCATACACATCTATCGTGTACTATAGACTATAGACGTGACACACAAACTGGTCACACAGCGTTAAAGAAAGTCGGTGAGGTGCTTTGGGCCGAGCCCAACTTGCTCCTCATACCGTAGCCGACCAGACCCCAGGGCAATGCTCTCAGGTGAACGTTAAGCCTTAAACAAGGCAGCGGCAGCGCCCCTCGCCGCCACGAAAGGGCATGCGATTTTGGAAAAATGGTGGGGTTTCTGCGCAAGCGTGTTTCGGGAAAACTTTGCGCAGGAAAGCAACTAACAATATCCGGAAGATACTCTTCATTAACATGGTTTGCGGATATACATCTAGCAATTGGACGTAATTGGATTGCACTGATGCCTTCTGCCTGTGTTCTGTGTGCAGCAAAATCACCTGAACGCCTGTGAGAAGTGACGAAGGCTTGCGCTTAAGGGCCCAAAACTTGCCATGCGGCGTGGACCACAGGATTCAGTGTTTGGGCTCTCTGGGGCTGTGAAGATCCACGAACCGACATGACAGCTTATGTGATCCATGTCAGTAGTATATGATCACATATAAACTGTAGCTTTGTGGACAGGAAGCAACCCCTCATTGAGGTGCTGCCTGTCCACTTCTATAGGGTGTCGGGCCCCAGACATGTCTGGAGAGGCGTACAGAATGAAGAAAATCACCCGAAACAAGATGTACCAACGTGCCCAAGAACCCCCCCCCCTCCGCCACAGCAACAAGGCCAATTCGTGTCGAGCATCATTCCAGAAATCCAGAGTCGATCGTAAGGTAAGGTGCCGAAAGTGCTGCAGATACCATTGTATTTGCTGTCTTCGCCAAGAGTGTCTTGCCACGTACGAAACGGCCAGTCGCGGAGCCATTTCGCGTTTCCGGAGCAAAAAAGATGCTTTCAAATGCCGTAAATGCCAGCATTTTCGAGCCTGAAGACCCCCTCATCACAAAAACACATTTAAAAACAAAAAACACAAGCTTAGTTTTGGCACCCCAGTGACCAACAAATCCGACGAAGGAGGAGAGTGTAGGCAGAGACAGCGGAAACGCCGTAATTCTCGAGCAAGTTGGTTCTTGCGCAGTGAAAGGGGCGGCGCACCCAAGCAATGCGAGCGTGCAGAATGTGTTGGAAATACCGAGCTTTGTGCTTTTGGCAGCAGTTATGTTGTAGAGACGGTAAGACCAGAACGATTTAAGTGAGAAGGAGCGAAAGTGCTGCAAATACGGAGAAACTTGCATGTCTAGAGGCAAACGGATGTTCCCTAAACCCCCACCACCCCCACCGCCCCGCCCCCCCCTTGACCCGCCAATGACCTCGGCCGGACAGAAAGTGTAACACCCTCCGCGGCGGCGAAGGGCGGCGCTGCCTTTAACAATATAAGTTAAGATCTGGGCAGGACCCGAAATTCGGCAATCCATGTAGTTCCTAAAGCCCCAAATCCCACAGCCTTATGTCGTACCCTAAAACCGAGAGCTTTTATCTCATCTAAAGAACCCCAGAACATATAAACCCTATACCCTAAATCCTATAAGCCCTAAACCCTATATAAACCCGAAACCCTAAACCCTACATAAACCCGAAACCCTAAACCCTATAAGCCCGAAGCCCTATAAACCCTATAAGCCCATAAACCCCTGAAGCCTGAGCAGGCTTCAAGCTCCCTATATGCACTCCCCTGTGCAGCGGCTTGGCCGCACCGAGCGATTTTCGCAGAGCACATTTTGGGTGTTGCGATGTAGGGTCAGGGCTCGTTGGGTTTAGGGTTGAGGGTTTTCGGGTTTAGGGGTTAGGGATGTAGGGTTTTAAGCTTTAGAGCTGTTGGATGTCTACGGCTGAAGAGATTTGGCAGATTGGGGGAGGTTTTAGTGATCTGCAGGAATTTGGGGGTTGGGGCGGCTAGGGTTCGGGATTCCGGGCTTAGTCAAGGGATGTTCTGGGTCATGTAAAGCCCACATCATTTGGACGACTCTTCGGGCATGCAACCGACCTACTGAGGGCGGCACCTCGCAGCGTTAGCGTTGACACCGCAGCTTAGTGGGGGTCTGTAGTCCTTATACTTGAAGCCAAGGCACCCAGCCGCTAATCCCCAGGTCGACTCCCTGTTTCGCCCGTCTTGGCACGTCTTAACGATCCCGAAGGCAAGAGAACAGATCTTCAATGCCACGGTCCTGCCATACCTCAGCCCCTTGAGGCCAAAATCCATCCCTAAACCGCTCCCTAGCCCTTGCTGAACCTGTCCCCAAAGGCACGCAACTCGCAAAAATACAATCCAACTGTTCCCAGTGTATCGGTTTGTGTGCATTCTGGCTGCGAGTTCACAGCGCTCTGATGCGTGGCAGTTTTTGTTTGCATGGGGTTGTTCTTCAATTGGGCACCACGTACCGCCTGAAGCCATGCAGACGCGGTGTGCCGCATGCTTGGCCGTCGTGCTGCTGATGACATCTTCTTCAGTTCTTCTTCGCCTTCCAAGGTATTCCATTGCGCGTTTTTCTCGGCAGAATGCTCTCCGAGATATGAGCCCGGAGCTGACCCTCTCTATTCGGCAGCATTGGGCATCCCAAAGCCCTGCCAACGTTGCAAACTGCAGCATATATGCTTGGATGAATGCCCTGACAGGAGAGCAGCCTCTCCTGGAGAGAGCTCTTGTAGTCTTCTTGGCCGGGAGCCAGAACGTGGGTTCGCAGGCTGTGCGAGGTTATCAGACAAGCTTGGGGCTCATGGCTGCGACCGAGACGGGCATGGCATGGAAGGTGAAGATCGCAGCTTGCAACTGCGAAGTATTGGGAGCAGCCTTTGCCGATCTTGAATGCCACTCTCCTGTCGTCCTTATTCATGTCAAACACCATTGCCTGTGCGAGGCTGATTCCACATGGATGCTAACCATTCAGTAGCATCAGCTTTGCCATGTTGCAAGTTCCAGACTGAAACCTGAAAGCAGTTCAGGGGAAAACTGGTAGAACTCCACATGTTTGGGGCCTGCGCTGAGGACTTCAACATACCGGAAGTGTCCGATGTGGCGTCCGCTGCACATCTGGGACGTTGTTGATTTGCCTCTGCCTTTGCCACGAGATCTCCCAGCACTGTACCTTAGTCGTAGTAGACGAGTAGGTAATCTTTCACCTTCTTCCTGTATGATAAACCCCTAATTCTATATATCTATATCTATATTTACATGTATACATTTACATTCATACCCAGACCCCCAAAAGGATCTAAAAAATAGATCCCCTAATTAGGGACCCTGACTACTAAAGGGTACTTTACAGAAACCCCCTTAGGGGATCTATTTTTTAGATCCTTTTGAGGGTCTGGGTAAGCATATAAACATATGTATATATATATATATATATGCATGCCAAAGGTTAACCTTCAGTTCCTCTTTGGATATTGGACAATGAAGGTATCGTGGCCTCATCGTCCAGACGAGCAGCCAGAAGCCCTCCGTTTTGCAAACTTTAGGACTTAGGGTTTAGGAGTTATTAAGAGGCGTTTAGGGTTAGGACTTAGGCTTATAGTGTTGCTTATAAGGTCTCGGATTTCCAGGGTTTAGGATTTAGGAAATTCAGGGTTTAGGGCTAGCTTGTCGGCTCTCTGATCGAAAGGTCCAAGGACACGAACTTGATCTCCATGTGGTTTCCGCTTTGCTGAGATTGTCCGGCAATTTCCACGATTCCCTAAACCCTAAACCCTAAAGCCCAAACCTCGAGCGCGGGGTTCGAAAAATTGCTGAAGACAATTTCAGTTCGGGCCATAGCTACTTTGCTCCCCAGAGACTCCAACACCCCTTAATTAAGGAATATACTTTAAATTATATTAGGAACCCTAGTAAGATTTAAGGTATATTCCTTTAACTAAGGGGTTTTGGAGTCTCTGGGTCCTTGCACTCCGCCGGCCCAAAGCCCTTTCGAGAAAGGATCCCTGCACACAAAGTCCAGTCCCCGAAATTACATTTGCAACCCAAGACCCGAAGATCTCGTTCAGGCTGGAAGCGATGAAGAAGTACAAAGACATTCAGACCGTGGTCATTCCGCACCATACGGGGCCAAGTCTCCCTGGGGTCCCAGCGGCAAAGAGCCTGACGAGCAAACCTTCGCGTCCTTTGCAGATTCTTGGTCCTGGGTTCCGAAGTACTTTATTGATTCTTTTGAGTTGTGGGATGTGTTTCCCTTTGAACCAACATAACATAGAACAAACTGGCGGTTTAGACTTGTTCCTCCCTGGCTGCTCCAGAAGACGGTTTAGACTTGTTCATCCCTGGCTGCTTCAGAAGCCAGGATTGGTGCTGTTTGTAGCAGAGAGTATTCCGCAGCTCTGGATGCAGTACTTGAGTCTCTGCACCTTGACTCAAGAGCCTTCAATTACTCTCATGTTGACACGTTCTGGTACAAGCAGCAGCCGCCGATTGAGCTTCACCAGCTGATTGCTCGGTACGACACCATCATCACCTGGCATGAGATGGACTGCTACGGCAAGCACAACCAGTACAAGCCCTATCAGCGAGCTGCAAACGCCGCTGCCACCCTTGTTCCCCCGATTCTCTCCGGCTGCTCTCCGAGCGCAGATGACTTTGCGACACTTCGGATGGACTTGCTCAAGTACCCTTACATAGCACAGAATGGCAATCCGGAGTCTTTGAATCGTCATCTGGAAGAACTGCTTGTGCCCGCCAACTGGGCCGCTGCGCAACAACATGCAAAGAAGCTGGCTGAATGCGTGACGCTGAAGAGTATTGTGAGACTGTATATCCAGTACATTACCTTCTTGTGGCGATCAACGGGTGCAGCGCAAGGAGTCCTCACAGCGCCGGGCAAGAGTACGAAAAACTTAAGGCTCAAACATAACATATGTATAACATATATATATATATACATACACATGCATGCATGCATACATACAAACAAACAGACATACATGCACATACACACACACACACACACATATATATATATATATATGTATACATACACACGCATAGACATGTAGATACACACACATGTATATATATATATATATGCATGCATACATACGTA